ATACTGATTATGAAGACTTGTAATATGTTCTTGCCTGTAGACCTGCAGGTGAGAATACTGATTATGAAGACTTGTAATATGTTCTTGCCTGTAGACCTGCAGGTGAGAATACTGATTATGAAGACTTGTAATATGTTCTTGCCTGTAGACTTGCAGGTGAGAGTACTGATTATAAAGCCTTGTAATATGTTCTTGCCTGTAGACTTGCAGGTGAGAATACTGATTATGAAAGACTTGTGTAAAGTGTGTTTGATCTGTCTAGTTACCAGTTTTTTCTGTTTGCCTTATTAAAAATAAATTAGCTTAAAATGTTAAATGAAGCCACAATATTATTTTAATTTCCTAACATGCAGTTAACCCCTTTTAAAGGCATGTATGTTTCAGTGTTAATGTATTAGTGCATGATTTTAGAAAAGTGTTGCATGCAGCAAGTAGAGGCTCTAATCCTTGCCACATCCGATATTCTACTTATCTGCCTACCTCGGCTCAAGACAGCGATCTCCAAAGCCTTTCATCTGACATTCCAACTGATGATACCATGTCTGTCACAGACAATAGTAGTTTGTAAGTTTGTTTTTATAATTTAGAATAAATAGTGATGGTACTGTGTAGTTGTGTTTCAGACCCTAAAATGCTTAGCCTGGTTTTTCATACCCTTGTTTATACTTTTTTTTTCTTGCAATGTTTATTTTCCTTATGAAATAGTTTGCAAGTTTTAAATTGTGACTTTACAATATTTTATTAAACATTAATATGTGTACATTACAAGAAATTCAGTGAAAAATTAGTTATGGAAACATATGCGTTTGATACAATTTTACAGTGTCATAGATATTTAAATATTTGTTTTGTGTCTGTTGCTAGGGAATGTTTTCCATTAACATCAAAATACCAGCTTAAGAAACAACACAGAACCATGAAGAAACATGCCTTAATGAATAAAGACTCACTTGGTTGTCCACAGTTTAATCCTGTGAGTATATGACGTATAATTTCTATTTTTACAGGGTAAGAATTGTCAGTAATTTGTAAACTACTTGTCATTAAAATGTATTAATAAATAAATGAATAAAATAGTGCTGTATTGAGAAGCATTGTTGATAGACATCTTGTGGAATTGAATTATTAAATTATTCATTGTACTTATAACTACAGTTGTTTTCTCATTTTGCTTTCTCTATTAGTGCCATTACATTTATTCTAAAGACATGCCACCATCTATTGAGCCTGAAAGGTTTGCAGCCATTCTTACAGAGAAGTTGCTGCATGTGAAGAAAAAACTTGAAGCTGAAGAGAAAATGGAAGAATCACTTCGAAAAGTGGAAGTAAGGAGATAAAATGTGTTAACACACAAAAGTAACTTTACATGGTAACCTAACAAAAGGAGTTACTTTTGTGTGTTAACATTACATGGTAACCTAACAAAAGGAGTTACTTTTGTGTGTTAACATTACATGGTAACCTAACAAAAGGAGTTACTTTTGAGTGTTAACGTTACATGGTAACCTAACAAAAGGAGTTACTTTTGAGTGTTAACGTTACATGGTAACCTAACAAAAGGAGCTACTTTTGTGTGTTAACGTTACATGGTAACCTAACAAAAGAAGTTACTTTTGTGTGCTAACGTTACATGGTAACCGAACAGAAGGAGTCACTTTTGTGTGTTAACTTTACATGGTAACCGAACAAAAGGAGTCACTTTTGTGTGCTAACGTTACATGGTAACCGAACAAAAGGAGTCACTTTTGTGTGCTAACGTTACATGGTAACCGAACAGAAGGAGTCACTTTTGTGTGTTAACTTTACATGGTAACCTAACAAAATGAGTTACTTCCGAGACAATACCTCACTATTTCACATAGTTTAGCTATCTTCCTCAGCATGTCTGCCAAGCTAAGAAGATTTATGTGCCACCTAATTTCATGTGATTTTACTTGAATTGCACTGCTGCATGATAATATCATTTATATGGTTTCCTTTTTCTAATAACTTCTTTCTCATTCTCAAATTCATCATCTCTTTAGTGGCTCGTTTTGTCCTGGTTGTAGCCTCTTTTCAGTTCCTTTACTTGATTCCCTTTCATTGGTGTCTATCTGGCCAGCTTGGGGATTGTGCCCCTGTATATTTCAGTTTTCCATTACCTAATTTTGTGTTTTCATTTTTTTTCTCTACCTCTCCTGTCTTTGCATTTTATCTAAGGCACTTTTTCCTGGTTCAGATGATCTTTTTCTTTCTCTCTTTGACCTATGCCACTTCTTCTGCTTCATCCATTCATATTTTGTTTCCTTGCAGTTGACACTGTTTTTGGGTCGGGTTATTTCTTCCCAGTATTCTTTCCTTTTTTTTCTTGTGCACTTATGATTATCCTATCTCCATTTCCTTGCCCAGATGTCTGTAGTGATTTTTCTTTCTCCTTGATAACCTTGACCGATATTCTACGACTTCTGTCCTCATTCTCATTGTCTAGCTCAGTTTCCTGCTGCCCTTCCCATTCTGGATTTCTTGCCTTTCTCTTTTTTTCATCTTCTCACTTCCTGATGTCTCCTTCATCGCTCTTTTTGTCAGTGACTATGAAACACATGATTCTTCTTGGGTATCCATCTTTTCTCCTCCTGTTGGTCTCACTTTCCACCAGTATTTGTTTTTCAGAAACCATCGCTAAGATACCAAACCAGGTTTCTCTACCCATCAAGGTAAGAAACCATCGCTAAGATACCAAACCAGGTTTCTCTACCCAACAAGGTAAGAAACCATCGCTAAGATACCAAACCAGGTTTCTCTACCCAACAAGGTAAGAAACCATCACTAAGATACTCAACCAGAAAGTGGCCAACCCACCATATTGTTCATCTTTTTTCTTCTTGTTTCACTCGAGATAAACTTTACAAATACTTTATCACTAACATCAGTATAAACCTAAGTTTCTGGGCAGTGCATGATGTCATTCCTTAGTCGTAATAACTAGCAGTAGCTAAAAAAATCATAATTCTAGTGTAAACAATGTTATCATTGCACCTTGAAGTTAACTTTCTTAAACAAATCTGGTGTTCCTTTAAAAAGCTTAAGTATAGGGTGAAACAGGAATTACCAACCAATAATAGATGAACATTAGATGACTAACAGGTAGAATATTCAGTTCTTTGTACACTATACAATCAGTGTCTTTAGGGAGCCAACCCCTATATTATGTATGAACTGAAGGAGTAAAAAAATATCAATACACTAACTTTCAGTAAAGGGAAAAAACATCACAAAACAAGTAATAAAAAAAACCTTTTGTAAATGTAAAATGATGCAGGAATGGCAGTGCAAAAAAAATGCAATAAAGAATATAGGGATGATACAGCTATACATAAATCATTCCTACATGATTTTCAATATTAAAATTTAATATTACACTATACAATGCTCACTTTACTTTAATATTACTGCAGGTTGAAGTTGTATATTCCAGACTGTTGGTATAAAGTTTATCATAATATCAGGGTCACATCAGGATAGGTACAAATGTATTGTACTAATAGCCTATTATTATTATTGTGGATTATTACAGACTGTTTCAGACTCACTACAAAGTCCGTCGAATTGACAGACGTCGTAACTGTTTTGTACTCTTGCATTTTATAGTGTAACATTAAATTTTAATATTGAAAGTTGTGTAGGGATGATCTGTGTATAGTTGTATCATCCTTACATTCTTGTTTTCATTCTTTTTGGCATTGTCATCCTTACAACATTTTACATTTACAAAATGTTTTTTATTATTTTACTTCTTGCACCTACACTGTTGATTTATAGTTGCCAATGTTACTGAATAAGGTTCAATAACATCTGGATGGGCATGCATAATATTTCAGTTTCCATTTTTGAAGAAAATTCATTAGTTTGACTTTCATGTCTGTCTCAAAATTGTCCTCCAAGAAATGAAGAAATTTCTGCTCCAAGAAATCTAAGCAGTGTCTAGATTAAAACTATCCACTTGAAGGCAAGCATGAGCCTAAGCCTCGTGTAAGGTCTCATTCTTTGGAAATTATGGAATTAGAGTCCTTTTCTTTTTTACAGATTCTCGATTTCTGCAACTTGTAATTGCACAATGTAGCATAGTAATGTGCATCAAGATTTTAAAACTTTAAATACAATAAATGTTACAAATTTTAGCATACTGTTTGTTTTACAACACAGTATAACCCCACATCTAAATAGGACATCTGTAAACATGTGAACTAAGACAGTATAGTCTCACATCTACATAGGACATCTGTAAACATATGAACTAAGACAGTATAGTCTCACAACCACATAGGACATCTGTAAACATATGAACTAAGACAGTATAGTCTCACATCTACATAGGACATCTGTAAACATATGAACTGAAGACAGTATAGTCTCACAACCACATAGGACATCTGTAAACATATGAACTGAACACAGTATAGTCTCACAACCACATAGGACACCTGTAAACATATGAACTGAAGACAGTATAGTCTCACAACTACATAGGACACCTGTAAACTTATGAACTAAGACTTGTTTAACACAGTCTAGTCTCACAACCACATAGAACATCTGTAAACATATGAAAATGAACATATTGCTTGGATTAAATTTAAAAAAAAATTAATGAGGAAATACAACTTTGTATGAGGGAATGTAATCTTCCTGTATTAGCTTTCCCTCGAGTGAATGTAATTTTATTTTAATATTTCTATCATTGTAAAGTACAGTCTGTAGTAAGGCTAGACTTGCATCAGGACTCTCTCACATACTACTATACCGTAATACGTACACAATGCCTGAGCACTGCACATGTACATATACTTACTGTTCATATGTATTGTTGTTCATATTGATCTGGAGAGAGGCAAAGCTAGCCTTATTTTGTTCATTGTTATTCTGTTTTGTACTGATCAAACTTAGTAGTTGGGGAATTTACAGATGATTTTGGTTGAGGATCGGAGTCAACATTATGTGCGTAGTGTGGGCATGGATAAGTGTACAGTAGACTGCGATGCCGTGTTGAGTAAGGGTCTGCTCCATGGGCTAGTCGTCTGTTGGACAACATGGGTATATGTTGGTCATCCGAGGAAATTTTTACTTGTCTCAGATGACCATTAAAATCAAGCCCTGCATGCTGGTGTACACTACACTACCTGAATTATAATTGTGAAAGTTTTTTTTTTCTTCCCCAGTGAAATAATGTAATCTGTTTGTGTAGATGATGTTTTAGCTAAATATAGTGCTATTATAACTGTAAATCCCTTTAGCCCATGGTGCTCTGTAATTAATATCCTGAAGCACATTTTGTTGATAGATTGCACAAGATTTTAAGTTGTGGGTGAGTTATGTAATTGATACTAAAATTGAATTGTATATTCAACTGTTTGCAGGCAGAAGAAAGTTTATCGAGACCATACGATGCAAGCTTATCATCGTCTTTTGAACGATTTGCTAGAATCCCTCCTCAGCTCATTACGGCAGCTATGAAAGAAAAACTTTCACGAACAGATGAAAGTGACCAATCCATCCTTGATGAACACGTATCTCGAGTTTGGAAGGATTCAAATCATACTTCTCCGGATCATTCGCCACCACGACCTAGAGGTCTTGACTGGGGAATTGAGCCCTCTCAAGAAGTCCTTATTAACCCTTACCAAGTGTTAAGGTCCCCACACGTGAGTCGACATCACATCTCAGGAAGACACAGAAGGGTTGGTCATATAGAATCCTTTGTTGTATTAATATCAATTTTAGAATAGTTTAAGTAATAGCTTTCCAGTGTGATTGAGCTGTACTCTCAGTTGGTTCACATGCAGACTGTTCATCATTGGTCTCAATTAAAATACTGGATTCAGAATTGCTACTTATCCCTCCACAGAATACTTTCATGCCACTGCAGAAATGTTTGTGCTTGTGCTCACCAGGCCGTTGAACAAAACTCCCACATCTATATGTAATACGTACTGTGCCAGTGTAAGGTGTAATCCCCCGACTACACCCCTTCACTAGTACTCCCCCCGACTACATCCCTTCATTAGTACTCCTCCTCGAGCACTTTGTGTATCAAAAGCTCATTCTCTTCCCTGTTACTGCAGTGTTCAGTCTTGGAAATGGTTTGACTGGATAATGAAGAAAATGTTATTATAAATGTACGACATTTTGACAAGATTATGTCATCCTCGGGTACAAGTAATTTCACATGTTCATCTTAAAACTTATAATTTCCTGTCCTTTACGGTTTATTATTCATCTCGACACAAGGAAATGATGCCATTAGAGTGTATTACATATCTTTGGGAGAGATGCACAAGCTTTTGGCAAAAGTATCTTACACTTGCACAAGATCGTAAGCCTTGAGAACTGGGATAATGTTTGAGGTGACCTTAAAAAATGTTTAAACCTAAATAATACATAATTAACTAAGATATAAAAGTAAAACCTAAATACAATTTAACTGCATCTCTAACTATAACATATTTATGTAAGAAATAACCAAAGTGCTATTGTGAACAAAGCAGCCAACAATACTACAAGCAGTTAGGTCTACCCTATGATGACAACAATTTAAAATAACCATTGTTAGACTATGGTGTAAAATGAGGTCTTTCTAATGATTGTATACCAGTGTAGTAAATGCATGTGGCTTATAATCTCAAAGCAAAATACAGATGGTGGGTGTGGCACACATCAAGGGTTGGCAAAATTATTTCTTGTTTCTGCTGGATTCAACAAAAGGACAAATGTACAGGCTGTGGTGTAAGTAAACGTACTTAGTGTCTAGACATAAATGTACAGGCTGTGGTGTAAGTAAACGTACTTAGTGTCTAGACATAAATGTTCAGGCTGTGGCGTAAGTAAACGTACTTAGTGTCTAGACATAAATGTATAGGAGACATAAATGTACAGGCTGTGGTGTAAATAAACGTACTTAGTGTCTAGACATAAATGTACAGGCTGTGCTGTAAATAAGCGTACTTAGTGTCTAGACATAAATGTACAGGCTGTGCTGTAAGTAAACGTACTTAGTGTCTAGACATAAATGTACAGGCTGTGGTTTATTCCATTCAATACAGAGGTTGCAAAAGTTGAGGTTTTTCATAACTCAGAGGTCGAGTGACAAGGAAACAGGAAATTAAGTTTTCTAAAGGTTTTTTTTGAAATAAAGAACTTAAAATTTAAGGTATATTATCTTAGATGATAATATTAATTTCCTTGACATACATTGATAGTAAAGTTGTTTAATTAAATTTTGAATGTAACTCAGTGACTTGCACAGAAAGGGGCTTAAAGGGATGCCTGTAGTGAAAGGGTTAACCCAGTGTTCGGGTTTTAGTATTTAATTTTACCAATACAGAATGACCAATGCATACGTGTAAGTACCACAGATATACCAGATCTACTTAAAAAAGAAATAAGTAAAACTTACTAATAATCATTATATTACTACTTTCTATGAATGCTGTTTTGTGGATTTTATTGAAAACAAGTTCTGAAATCTCCTGATATCCAGACTCTCATCTGTAAGAGTTTTCTTATTTCCTTTAAATGGCAACTGGAGCCACACTGATGGTGAGAACATTTTGTGGTTGGATCTATACTATATTCTTCAACTTGGACCTAGGACTTGCAGCCTCTTGCCTTTTTTTTTATGGTTCTTCTATCCTTCATGAGGATCAAGTAACACCCATCTTGTGTTACTTGTTTCCTTACTGATATCTCAGGTGTGTGTCACTTGTTTCCATACTGATATTTCAGGTGTGTGTGTGTGTCACTTGTTTCCATACTGATATTTCAGGTGTGTGTGTCACTTGTTTCCATACTGATATTTCAGGTGTGTGTGTCACTTGTTTCCATACTGATATCTCAGGTGTGTGTCACTTGTTTCCATACTGATATGTCAAGTATGTGACACTTGTTTCCATACTCCATCCTGATTCAGCTGGCTTTCAGACAGACCTCTTGCATGCACTCAACTCAAGATTTTTTACCTCTCTTCCTCCCTTGCTTGTTTGTTACATTACTGCACATTCTTTAAGTCTGTGCTTCATATTGACCCAAAGTTGCCACGTCCTCCCTAAACTATTCCCAGTGGTTGTGATCAGTTTGCTTTCTCATTGATCCTCACGCCTGCTTATTCTTGTGGGTATTTCTCATGTACTGTACGGCCTGACTTATTGTCCTATCCACGCTACAAGTCTATAATCTATTGACCATAAGTATTACCAAAACCGATTGAACAGTGTTTACATTCTTTCTACCTATGTGACACTTTAATACCAGGCAGAAGGTGGGTGACAACTACCCCATGAGTTTTCCTTTTCTGTCAGTATATTTTCACAAAGCAGCTCATCTCCTTAAATTTCTTTACCTCCACAGTGTTATTCTAGCTCCGTTCTGTGGAGAGGAGAGTAGTGTCTCTGAATTCAACATTTTCCTTACCTGTGGATCACGTCTTATGGAAACCATGAGTTAGTTGAATTCTATGAGTATGTGACACGAACGCTTCACTTCAGTGTGTGTTAATACCTGTATGTTTGTCCAGGCAGTAGCAGAACGGTTTTAACTTTTAAGCTTCAGTGTCTTAAATTTCAAAATTTTGTAATCTAAGTTCAGGAGTTAAAGACAAGTGAATGTGAAAGTGTGCTTACCTGATTGATTTCCATTACTTTGATACCAATTTGTGGTAATATGTCAGATAAAGGTTGTTTGGTAATACTTCACATAAAGGTTGCATGGTAATACCTCAGATAAAGGTTGTGTGGTAATAGCTCAGATAAAGCTTGTGTGGTATTGCTTCAGATAAAGGTTGTGTGGTATTGCTTCAGATAAAGATTGTGTGGTATTGCTTCAGATAAAGATTGCTTACAAACATCTAATTTTAGTATTTAAGATCATAAGATATTATTTATGATAACAATAAATAATTGTATGTGTGATCTTATTAATGTATCAGTGTTTATAGGAATGATTTAAAGTACAATAAAATCTGTTACTGCAATGTTTTTATACAATCAAGAAACTCGTGGAACTACAGAATATCCAGAAACAGCAAAATAATTACAGTATATCTGTGATAACATAATGAGTTGACAACTTGATATTACAGTCATTGCCTTTCATATAAAAAAGTGAAAAAAAAATTCAAATAATGCTAGATTAGTAATAAAGTAGCTAGTGTTGGTCTCAGTCACACTGTTGGTATGGTTGTTGTTGTAAAGACATAAATACTGTTAGATTAGTCAGGAAAGTAGCTAGTGTTGGTCTTAGTCACACTGTTGGTATGGTTGTTGTTGTAAAGACATAAATACTGTTAGATTAGTCAGGAAAGTAGCTAGTGTTGGTCTCAGTCACACTGTTGGTATGGTTGTTGTTGTAAAGACATAAATACTGTTAGATTAGTCAGGAAAGTAGCTAGTGTTGGTCTCAGTCACACTCTTGGTATGGTTGTTGTTGTAAAGACAGAAATACTGTTAAATTAGAAATGTATTTAATGAAGTGATGAAATTTGTGTCTGAAAATTAGCTTTATTCCTAAAGTATAAGATAACTTTAGAGCTGAACTTTGATGTTAAGTTTTGTGTAGCTCTAACTTGTGTGAGATTCTAAGATACAGTTCCAAGAAGTCAGTATTTTGTAATAATGTAATCGGCAGGAACGAGACAATTGCTCAAGTGACAGTGGAACTGTCCCAGACTTTACTCCTGAGAACGAACGTACAAATCCTGCCATACGCCCCATCCACGTGTACCGACACGTTCATCACCACTATCTTTCACCACTTGATAATCCAACAGCCCCATTGTTTAAAGGGAATAATGTGGGGCCAGAACCTGCTGGAAATGAAGAACGGCGTAGATCCAAAGAAACCACTCGCAGATCTAAGAAGGCACCACCAGGGGACTCTAGCAGTAGTTGTGTGGACAGTGGAGTTAGTATGGTGGGTGGCACTTTGCCTCCAATGGATGTTACTGAAAGGTATATTAAAATATATTCAGAAGTTACAATGTTAATAATGCAAGTGTCATTATTTTCTGTTTTTATACACACCTTCCTTTCGGCTTTTTAGCCAGAATCACAAATACATTTACATGCTATAACATCTTAGCTAAGTTGGGTAGCAAAACTTATTAAGATAACTGACATCTTTTACTGGCTACCTTGAAGCTTCAGTTTGTAGCATTTTAAATAATTCAGTAAAATTTGATGAAAGCATTCTAGCTTCTTCAGTGATATTTTCAAATAGTACACTTCATATAAGCTTAGCATGTTTTTTCTTATTTGTATGTAGTATTGTGTTAATTGTAGTCACTATGGTTTTCCTCAGTCAAACACTGACTATTGAGCTGAATTTTTTCAGAGTCTACAACTGGATTCGGGACAAAGAAAAATATAGATCCCAATCCCATGGACCTGATGTTGAAAGAGAGTCATCCTCAAAACACAAGAAGTCCAGTCGCAGTGGTACATCTCTGGTTCCTTCTGCATCCAGCAAACAGAGGTAAAGAGTGTAATATGTAAATATTGTGTAATCAGTAACAGACATAGGGTATTTGTATTCAAGTGCTTTCGAATACAGTTTTGGGAGTATTCATGTTTTGGTAGGTAAAATTAAAGTATTCCAATTCAGTTTGCATAGTATTCATATTCACTGAATGATTCATTGAATATTTAATATTGTAAGAGTAAATGTTAACTTTTGTACTCATCTAATTTGTAGACCGTCATTATTACATCTGTAGCACGTGCATTTCTCTTTCAGTACAAGCTTCGTTCCTGTGGGAAAGACATTTGTATTGGAATAGAAATTAATACTTTTCTGTACAGAAAACAATGTAACATAATGTCATTTGATAGATGAAAACCTTGGCTTGTCGGCTATAAAATTATGCTTTGCCTGAGTGATGACAACATTCTAATAAGTAATTTACATTAAATTTCATACTTCTTGAAGGAGTGGTAAGTTAAGAGAAGAAGGGGTGGCTAGAGATAAAAGTTACATTTCTTATATGGGAGAAATTCAAGATTTTTTAAAAATATTATCTCATAAAATTAAAAACTTAAAAGTTACTACTATTAAAATATTGATTATTAGCTATGATTTTATGCTATACTGATTGGTATAACGTGAACAAAAATTAGTTTAATTAAATTTTGAATGCACAGTAAAGGATGGCTGTGGTGAGAGGGTTAAATCCGGTTAATACTCTCCAACCACCTTAAACATTATAGTATTACAGTCAACATTATGATGTGCAGTAAAGGATGCCCCTGGTGAAAGAGTTAAATCAGGTCTTTACTCTCCAACCACCTTAAACATTATAGTATTACAGTCAACATCATGATGTGCAGTAAAGGATGCCCATGGTGAGAGAGTTAAATCAGGTTAATACTCTCCAACCACCTTAAACATTATAGTATTACAGTCAACATCATGATGTGCAGTAAAGGATGCCCATGGTGAGAGAGTTAAATCAGGTTAATACTCTCCAACCACCTTAAAGTTATAAATCCAGTCAAGTTATTTGAGAGATGGCTACTAAACAGCCTTCAGTGGTACATGAACATTCCATAATTCCAACTGATAGATCTGTAAATACTGTGAGCAGGAAAAAACCACTTCTAACCTACTGAAACCTCTGAAGGTAAGCCTTTTTATTATTATTTTTAATATGAACTATATTCTATGTAAATTATACAATATGAAACAGGTAAACTAAATTTCTCATGCATGTTAAACTATATTATTTATTATTTTCATTTATTTAGTATTATATGTTTTTATTATTTTTATCATTGTAAACAATATTCTATAGGTAAAGTAAATTTCTCATGTTTGGAATTATAGTTATCATTTTTATCTATTATTACATATTTTTTATTATAAACTATATTCTATGTTATATAATTGAGATATGCTTTTGTATTTTTAGTATAATCATGATGCAGAGCTACATAAGTCTACATCTGGCTTTGGTACTTCTGCCCATGTGCAGTAGCCTACAATAGCAGTGTATTGTACGGAATCAACTAAATATATGTCTACATACCCTCATCAGAAACATCCTACAATAGCAGTGTGTTGTACAGAATCAACTAAATATATGTCTACATACCCTCATCAGAAACATCCTACAATAGCAGGGTATTGTACGGAATCAACTAAATATATGTCTACATACCCTCATCAGAAACATCCTACAATAGCAGGGTATTGTACGGAATCAACTAAATATAT